ATAGAAAAAGCGATTTTTAATGGATCGCTATTTTTCTATATGAATTGTTTGTTAAGTGGGCGGGGTTTGAAGTTAAGGGGCGAAGCTTCTTCCTAACTTCTTCTTCAAAGTTTAATTTATCCATCCATCAAGTTAGAGGGTGACTGCATTCAATTTCATTTTCATTCCAACTCATTTTTCACCGGTTGTTTCAACCGCTCTTATCTATGGAATTTTAGGGTACTTACAAATAGTCGAGGACCATTGTGTTTTTTAGTATAACAGTTTGATTGTTTTTCTTTTGATTTGATTTGGAGTTTATTTTAAGGTGGCAGGGTATGACGAGAAGCAACCATTGTTTGTTGAACACCTGGTGAAGCTGATGACCGACTTCAGACCAGGTTTGTTGTAAGTTTGCCATCGAGAAGTACTTCAGCTTGTCTCTTTTTCTTCTCATCTCTCACCTTCTTATGTCGATATTTGAATGGACTTCCAACAAGTGAATATGGTTTTTAACGGTTTCTCAGAAGGGATTTTTTGAAACTTTGGGAACTGAATTCACCTCTAGAGAAGGCTATGATATGAATCTTTGATCAGAAAAATGCATACTGTGAAATTTGCCGTTTTCTGTCGGATAAATGATTCTGAGCCTATCGAAATCCCATAACTTCATTCGTTTTTGGTTATAAATTCTGATCTTGAGCTAGTTTCCATTGATTTGCCATTTGGTCGTGTAGAGGCCGTCTTGGAAATTCGCTCAATTCAGATCCGTTGCGGTTTGAAGTGATACTCGATAGGATCAAGCGCTTGTTGGAGAATTTGGCTCATTCACAACCGTACGATTTATCGAATGCTTACCTCGATATGCTGCTAGCTGACAAGTGTTGGTGTGAAGAGCAACTTCTTGCGGTTTCTGAAGGTGAGAGAATATTTTATACTTATTTGGATTTATATTCTTACTTTCTGCATCATTTCTTCGAGATCTTTCTTCCAGTATCTCTACTTAAAGCATTTTTTTGCTTAAAAATTTGAAAGAGCAATTTGGTCGACGTTCTTGTTCCTACCCAATTTTATTGTATTTATCATAACACCTTTTTTATATTTAGATCTTTGGACGCATCAAAATAAGCATTTTCCGTCCCTTTATCTGTCTTTGGTACCATGTTTTTTGGCTGCTTTCAGACTGCGAAGATTCAACCGACGTCCGTCGGTTGAATCGTTGAAGTCGGAAAGCAGGATTTTGTTTACCTTCGTGAAATTCAATCAAAACTCTTTGAAAATTGGCCTGCCTCCCATTTTCAAATGATTACATACTCTTGCCAGCATCTTATTTGTGCCGACGCTAATATGTTTTTCCTTCTAATAGTTCAAGTATAGACGCTGTCCTAGTCAGAAATAAATCTTCCAGGCGTGTAGGCCGTTTCCCTCATTCTCATATCTGTAATTCAGATATAAATGTCCACGAACTAGAGGCATTTGTTAAGGAAATCTTACGAGCCTTCCATGTTGAGCTGTTTGTCCATGGGAATGCGACTGAACAGGCGAGTACAGATTTTTAATTTGTAGGGATTCTTTCTTTGAGCCTTTCTATAGTTTTGGGTGGATCTACAAATCATGTGTATAGCTTTTTAGTTGTCATTTTCGTTTAATTGTTGGCTTTGAAAGCTTGCAGCTACTTTTTAGGAGGCATTAACGCTTGGTCATGCGGTTACAAAGACGTTGCTTGAGGCATCCAAAAGTCGTCCGCTATTCAGAAACGAGTTTAGGCAGTATAGGGAACATGCTCTGGAGAATGGTAATCTTTTGATCACATTTTCTCGATTAGTAATTGGTGAAGGAAAGATGACCATGGTCACAATCGCTGCATTAAAGCAGTTTTTGTTACAAAGTAGTTTCTTTCATTAAAAATTTCAAGTTCCCCTTGAAATATTGTTTTTTAAAAGAGTCTCTTTTTTGTTGAACAACTTCAAACGATCTTGCGGTGAAATTTTTCTGGCAATTCGAGAATCAAGCGCCGTTCATAGTTTACTTAATCCGGAAAATTCATTCATATTAATTTTTCACAAAGGTTTTTCTCACTTTTTCGATCTATTTTTAATAGTTTGCTTTATTTTCAGTTTATTTCATTTCTTTTTTAACATGTACTTAAGGAGATGCGTATGTGTATCGGCATTTCCAAAATACCCACGAGATGTCCTGCGTCAAAGTTTTGTTCCAAGCAGGAATACAGGTAACTTGTTTTTATTTCTTTACGTTTTTTCATAATTTTTTTTTTTGGGGAATGGATCCTGGTGTGAATGACTTTTTATATTCAGTCTTACGAGTTTAGACTAGTCGAGGAAGCGCTTTGGTTGAGTTACTGGCACAACTTCTGCGTGAACCCGCCTTCAACCAGCTGAGAACTGTCGAGCAATTGGGTAATTATTACTTTAGTAGATTTGATATACTTTTTTGGTTACTCTTTTTATACCAGGACATAAGCACGAGTCTCGGGCCCCCAGCTCTGCAATGGGGTAGCGAGACATCTTTAGTGGCCCTACGTTGTTTAGGGTATATTGTGGCGGCTGGCTCACGGTTGAACACGGCTGGTGTTCTTGGGCTGCAATTCATTGTGCAAGGTCCTAAAAGTCCTGACTATGTGTTTGATCGAATAGAGGCATTCATTGAAAATATTCGAGTTAGTTTCACTTCAGGTTTCATTACAGTGCATCTGACATTCTTCAAAGTCTCTAAAGTTGCTGATTTTTTTTATTTTATATGATAACTAATCACAGGACGAAATTACAAAAATGTCACAAGATGAATTCGACAAGCAGAAGATGAGCGTCATTGCACGAGCGCTTGAGAAACCGAAAACTTTGGGAGCACAGTCACGGCACTTTTGGATTGAAATCCGCTGTAGGCAGTACGATTTCGATTTAAGTTCGTTTTGCCTTTTCGTCCTTTTTACTTTATTCAATCGAGAAGTTTGTTGTGAAGTTTAAGATTGATTACCTGGTTTAGAAATGTGATTTTGTGCGAAAAGGCACTCATCACGCAAGGTTTTTGGCCATTTGTGGGAAAGGGAATAGTTAATGATAAACAGACGTGAATTGCTGAGATAATCAATTATTAACTTTCCTGTTTGCACTCCGCTTTTCTAATATCAGGTTGGAAGATAAGTCCTGCAACACTTTGAACAAGTTTATATTTCTTTATGAAACGAAATATTCAATCTACCCTATAATCACCATTATCATCTAGGACACGTGCTCATCTTTCGGCCAGCTTCTTGTTCGAGAATTCCGGTGGACGCCACGGAAAAAGCAATGGTTTCCATTTTCGAGTTGACGACGATCATCAAATTTTTTGTCCCTTAGATGGTGCTTCAGCGCTCTGAATAGGTGATGACCAGAAGGCGCTAGGTCAGTAAGTAAGCCAGATGCAACAGTACTTCGTATTCAAGTTCCATAGTTTTTTGACGCGTTTCGTTGGCTTCATCCGGGCGTGCGTTAACGTGGAGTAGGAAGACATTGGGTCTTTTCGGGCGTAACTCTAACATCCCGTCGGCCAGATTTTGCAACTGGTTAGAGTGGACTGTGGCCGTCACTAGAGCACTAGAGTGCCACTGTTTAGCGTACCCTAGCAGATCATTCCACCGAGCCACCAGCAACACAATAAAACCTCCTCCTTATGAAGATCTGCTTTAGGCTCGGTAGGTGGCTTTTCTCCTCGCGCAACCCAGTGGCGCTCACGTATATGGTGTAGGTAAAGCACCCCGCACTCATCTCCGGTCACTCTACCTTGTAAGTCTTTTCGATTGGGACGAAGCAGAAGAGGTACAGCCACGTGCATCCTGTTCGTCTAGTCAGACAGCGTAGTTCAATTAGAAACCTTTTTACGATTCCTTTTATGTTTATTTTCGAAATCCTACAGGAACACTCTACAGCAATCGGGCTCAAAAACATTTGGAAAGGGGTTTGGTTGTTTTCCGGAGGAACATGTTCAATGTTGCAGGACTTATCTTCCAAGTTGCTGTCATTTTGGGGCAAGGTCCGGCCGTCTGTAACGAATGTCACTCATCACTTCAGTGATTTCTGTGCAAAACAAAATGTTTGTAGTTGATTCCTCTGTGGAAGTGCTGAAAACGGTCACCAAAGAAGATCTCCTCTCGTATTTCGATCTCAAATTCACCAGAAATGCTCCTGAGCGGCGTATGGTGAGTCTGTTACCTTCGCTCCTATTTACCCAATTCTTGAACTACATAGATTATTCAGTTTACCTCACATTACTATCTATTATTATCTCCCGTCAACTTTTTTCGGATAAAAATTCTTCTATCAAGATTGCTGTATTCGTGCACGGTAAAGGCGAACAGAGGGACGGATTGGTGGAGGAATCGAGAGCGAAGAGGGAAATTGCTGGCAAAGTTAAACTGGTAAGTGACGCTGTTAGGCGCTGTTTATTTAAATTTTTGACGTAAGCCGTATTTTTATTATTATACTTATCTCTCTCTCCCTCTCTCGAAATACTAATTATTTTCTTTCACTTCGTTCGCTTACTTATCACTCTATTAATATTTCTATCTCATATAAAAGTATCATCTCCAGCTTTCATTTCATAGGATGAATTACAGCTAGGTTTCTATGGTTTCAGGAAGAAGTCGAATGTATGGAACAGTTCCGAGAATCATTATCGCTGTACGCTCGCCCACGACCCAAGATGAATCTGCCGCCGATTGGCGCTGAACCCTTGTCGTCCTTAGCACTTGGAGATGCGAAGTCGAAGTATTGTGAAGTGATGAACAATATTTCATTATAAATAATTGTTGAGGCCTATTTGTTTGATTATTTGATTGTTATTGCTTTTTAACAGGATCACTTATTGCTGTTAGGCACTGAAGGATTTTGTTACTCCTGGGATATTCTTTTTTCTTGGATTTTTCAGTTGAGGTGCAGTTGCACTATTTCCAAGCAACTGGTCGATGTACAGTTATACAATTTCAGGCTTATTAGACAGGTTTGAATGTTCAATCACCATGAATCTTTGAAAAGTTGTTATGTTCTTAATCTACCGGGTAATGTGTCAAGTATAAGGTTAACTGCAGTTCTTCCAGCCGCAGATTTTAATTTTTGAATATCAGATAAATATTTTTCAAAAACGTTTCCAAGGGTAGTTCAAGGCATCTCTTAGCCTTCGACGTGGTCGAGTATATCTCCTGGAAATTAGTTCCATGTGAGAAAATCATCCTTTTCTTTTTTTTCTTCTTTTTAATTCTTTTCTGCGTCGTGAGCTTACATCTCAGAAAAGCCGTTACAAGAAGTGCTTCTCAGCACTCTGTTTACTGGTTGCAGTTAGAGTCTGCTTTGNCACATTGCCGAAGCGTTGCTTAACTCCACCCCTAGCTGCCCATGCAGTCAATGTACTGTATCGGTTTATCGTGGTCGGGGTGTGACCAACGCCCAATGCGGTTCGGCGGTCGTTAACGCCAGCTGTGGGTGCAGCTATTGATGGTCGGCTGCAAGTTTTCACTGTTATCTGCCTGCTATCACCGCTGCTTTTAGAGAGTAAAAACTGAACAAAATTCTCAATTACCATCAAAGGGCATAAGTTTTTCGAAAGTATATCTGTGGAATTTCTTGTTAATGGCTGTAAGTGGGGGGAGCAGCCTTCCAAAAAAATGGTTGAATAGACAAAATTGTAGAAGCAAGCAGATTTCCATGATCTTGTGGAAAGAAGGAGGTTGTTCAGCTTTTTCTAGAGTGATAAAGGGTTGGTTGGAACGCAGAGGTGTGGTTGGTACTGAAGACTGTAATCTTTGAATGCGCTTACTTTACCTGTTCATCTTATCCCAGTCATTGGTAAAAGCTCGATTCGCAATGAGCAGCAGACCTTGTAGAATAGATACTACTTGAATCCCTCGCCCTCTTCAAGATGTTTTCGCCTCCTTATTTTTTTTTTTTT